GTACTCTCTCGCTCTCTCTCAAAATAAATAAAATCTTAAAAAAAAAAAAAAAACATAGAATTATCAACTGACCCAGCAATTCTATTCCTAGGTAAGTATAAAAAAAAAAAAAAAAAAATTGAAAACCGGAACTCAAGTAAATGTAACCATATGTCCATAACAGCACAACTCACAGTAGCCAAAAGGTGGGAACAACCCAAATGTCCATCAGTGGGTGAGTGGATAAAATGCTGCAGATTCATACAATGGAATACTGTTCAGCCATAAACAGAATGAAGTCCTGACACCTGCTAGAACTTGAATGAACTTTGAAAACATGATGCTAAATGAAAGAAGCTAGGCACAAAAAGGTGACATGTCATACAATTCCATTCATACGAAATACTTAGAATAGATAAAACCATAAAGATAGAAAGCAGATTGGTGGTTGCCCGGGCTCAGGAGAAGCTGTTTAAACGGTACCAGGTTGGGCACCTGGGTGTCTCACTCAGTTAAGCGTCTGCCTTGGGCTCAGGTCATGATCACAGGGTCCTGGAATCGAGTCCCGTGTTTGGCTCCCTGCTCAGCGGGGAGCCTGCTTTTCCTTCTGTCCCTCCGCCGCCCACTCGTGAGCATGCTTGCTCTCTCTCAGGTGCTCTCTCTCTCAAAAATAAATAAAATCTTAAAAAAAAATAAAGGGTACCAGGTTTCCTTTTGGGCTGATGACGTTTTGAAACTAGGTAGGAATGGTGGTTGCACAACACTGTGAACGTACTAAATGCCATTGAGTCACTCACACAGTGGTTAATTTTATGTTAATTTGTCTCAATTAAAAAAAACAAAACAGTGGGTGGGGTGGAGATAAGGGTGAAGGCAGAGCTAGGAAGAAGGTCCCCCTGGCAGTTTGTCCTTTCAGACCCAGAGGACATCTCTGAGCTCAAGAAGGGTACAGATGGGAAAGGCATGCCCAGCAAGGGCAAGGACTTGCGCAAGGTCACAGAATGTATGGGAATCCGTAAAGGAATTGGAGGCAGGGCTTTAGGACTCAAAGCTGGCACTGCATCATGATGCCTCCACTGGCCATGGTGGCCTGGAGGGGGCCCGTGGCCGTGATCAAATGAGTGAAGACCAAGCTCACACTGGCCTTCCAGACTGACGAAGTCATCGACCAGTTGGTTATCTGGGCTCATCCATGCCAAAGGCTTTGGATGAGTCAACTCGGGTCTTCCTCCTTGACAGTCGGCCCCCTCCATGGGCAGAGTCCTAGCTTTAAGCAGAAAACTCATTAGCCTGCTGTTCTATTTCTGCCCACAGCTTGCACCCCTGGGCTGAGGTCATCAGTTTCCCCACAAGGGCAATGGGAGGAAGGAGAATGTCCTAAAATTACAGCATTCACTGATCCCCCCTGAGGGACCTGGGAGCATCCAAACTCTGGAAGGTGAAGCCAGCTGAGCCACCAGAGCCCTGAGGGGTTCTTTTCTTTTTTAAGGTTTTGCTGGCTCAGACCTGTTGGGCAGGTATAAAAGGGAATGGCCAGCCTCGGCTGGGCACCCAGTCTCTTCCAGTGTGGTCTCAGGTGGGTACCATAGGGGCTGCCGGGGGAGATGGGAAACAGGGAGGTGGGTGCTCTGGAGGAGTCACCTGAGGAAAGTGGGTGTAATGATGGGAGATTAGCAAGGTGGAGCAGGAGGTGAGCATTTCTTGAGCACCTGCCTGCCCCAGGGGCTGCAGAGGGAGCATATCATTCAGTGTTCCAAGGGACCTGGACCTGCAGGTGAGGAGATAGCTGGTGGGGCTCGTGCTGCATTCCACAGTGAGACAGGAGCAGTTGGGATTCGAACCCGGATCAGCCCCACTTCACTGCACCACTTGCCTTTCCTGGTTGGGGGGGGGGGAGGTGCTGGGTTCACCCAGGGCTTAATCCCAGCCCTGTCCTTCCCACACCGTAATGCATCTCTGCTCCCCCGCCCCGCCTCACCCCCAGGACCCTTGCAGCTTTTGCATCCCTTGAGCTGAATGTTTTCTATGTTTTGTGGTTTACGATTTTAAAAATGGGGTCTGAGTGGTATCTGGCTAGCTTAGTTGGAAGAGCACCTAACTCTTGATCTCAAGGTTGGGAGTTCGAGCCCCATGTTGGGTGTAGAAATTCCTAAAAACAATAAACTTAAAAAAATTTTTTTAATAAATAAAAGAAAGAAAAAGTGGGTCTTAGTTATCAAAGATGCCTGGAGAGAGCTGTTGTCTGGAGGGACAGGAGTAGCTTGAATATGTAGGGGGGCCTGGAAGGAGGGCTCACTACTGAGCAAGGGGCTGTGGCCACTGAGAGGGGTGGGACCTGGTGTCAGAGGCCTGTACAGCCCTGGGGTGCAGGCCTGGTCCCAGGGGTCTGCGCCCCAGGCCCCCAGGCCAGGACAATAGCAATAACACCTTAGCTTATGGGTCCTGGCAAAACCATCATAAAAACGAAACAAAACAAAACACAGAAGCAGCCTAATTGGACTAAACAAAGGAGAATTTCTGGCCTCTCCTCCCACATTAGAACAATTTAAAAAGGTACCTAGCCCTCAGACACGAGCAGTTGTTTTGCATTAAAGACAAGTCTAATGCATTTTAATCTGACTTTGCTGATACTTGCATTTCTTTTTCATGTGGATTTTGGTCTCATTTCCCTGGTGACTTCCGTCTGTGTTAAACAGAAGCAGGAAAATGAGGCAGCAAAAAGACAATGCAACTGAGCCACTGGGGACAACAAATGACAAAAGGAAGTTTATGTTGAGCAATTCTCTCTTCCAGGAAGGGGTAGGGGGGAGGCCCAATGCAGCCTCAGCGCTGCCCAAGGTGACCTTTGGCAGAGTCAAGGGAGAGCCAAGTCTCCTGGGTGCTGGACGGACTGCTGGAAGCTCTCGGGACACCGAGGACTCCTAGCCCAGTGCTCCCCGGGGACAGGACTCAGGATGAGTTAGGCAGGGTTCTCACCCTAGGTTCCGGGGTCTTCAGCGGGGAAACAATCCCATCCTTTAACAGAAATGTATCATTCCCTCCCCTTTATATCACAGGCAACAAATCACAGTCCCCAACACCTGTGACTTTGTCAGCAATGGAAATCACCGCGATTTTCATATCACTGGACGATGTGGCAGAGAGCTCGAAAGATTATCAGTTCCCATCATTGCTTCAGAACAATGTTGGGTTGTTAGACCTGAGGTCAGATCATGTCATTTAATGCATTAGTGAGGAAGTACGCATATTACTGTATCACGCAGGCTTACTTACTATTTTGTTAATTATATTTTAATACCATTTGTTTCCTTGGTGATCCTACGCATTTTACTACCTGAATTTAAAACGTTCATTTTGTCCAATGGGAACACAGGCATCACCAGATGGCACAGGACGCCCACCCCTTTCCTTTCGTTCTTATTTCCTGCGAAATAGACCAGCTTTGGGGTTGGGGAACCCACAGAGAGATGGACCCCACAGAGAGAGAAGACCAGGAGAAAGTGTCTGGCTTTGCTGCCACATCTTGCCTGTCCTGGGTCAGCCTCTTCTGGAAACACCAGAGCCCTTGACAGGAAAAGCTGGAGCCCTCCTGAGGATAGCTTGGGGCAGCGGGAATCCTGGGAGGCACAGTCTGAGACCCTCCATCCCCAGCTGGCTTATTTAGAGCTGGAGGCTGTACTCGGCCTCCAGAACAGCACTGCTGACAAAAAGGCTCACAACCACACCCTCCCCAAACTTCTGAGAAGGTTCTTCACCTCTAAGACAAACTGGGATGCCCCTGACTTCTCTCTTTGCTACCATGAGTCCCCAGTTCTTCTTCCTGGTGGTTTGGTGAAATTGTCTGGGTTTGGAGACCAAGAGGCCCAGGCTTGACCCCAGGCTAACCTCATCCTAAGAGAGGTAATCATTGAATCCAAGCAATTATTCTGTACCAAGCACTTCCTTAGCATTTGGCAAAGCCCGTAGACCTCAGCTCAGATTAGCGTTTTTAAATGCATTAAAAAAACAAAACAAAACAAAAAACTACATAGGGTTACAAAGGAAACCAATTGTATTAAAATATATTATCAAAATATTTAAAAGTTAACCTGTGATATAGTAATTAAAAGTCTACTTCTTCGTGAGTAGATTTAAATAACAGCTAACTGAGGATCTAATAAGACCATGATTTCAAAGTTGAGATGAGGGTAAATAATATTTTGAGATTTCTGCAACCGTGCGAAAATGAAAGGAGACTAGCTGTGGTTTCTGTTGGGGACTGTGTTACTGGGGTGCTACTGGGTCTTGTGGCCTCTGTTCAAACCTTAAGGGAAAGCGAAAACCAAGTAGTAATTGTTTTGCTGTCCCAATTTCATGGTTAAAATCCTTGCTTTAACCGCCCCAGGCTCTCGTCTTCTCCTCCATAAAATGAGCTTCCTGATCCCCACCTCACAGCCTCAGTGTAGGGGCATATGAGAGGGCAGAAGCAAAAGTGTTTTGTGGTTGGTGGGAGTGGGTACACAACTCTGAGGAGCTATTACCTAGTTTCTAATTCTTGATTATTAAGACCTAATGGCACCAAGACACCCAAAGTGACATGAGAGAAGCAACCCCCTCTCTCTCGGGGCATTTGTCCCAGCCTACCCATCAGTCTTGGCAAACTGGCCTTGCTCTTCCCTACAGCACCCAGGGAAGCCCTGGTTCCCTCCCTTGGTTCCTTCCTGCTCCTCCCTCAGCCAAGCCACGATGCCTGGTGGATACAAAGGAGAATGTGGGGACAATGTGGACCCAATGCCCTTCCTGGCACCTCCGGAAAAGGAGAGGATCGAAGCCATGAACAAGCCCTATGACATCAAGAAGTCCTGCTGGGTCAAAGACGAGAAAGAGGGCTTCATTGCTGGGGAGATCCAGTCTGAACAGGGTGAGCAGGTCACCGTGAAGACAATCAACAACCAGGTGAGTGGGGAGTAATCTCCAGGATGAAACTGAGAGTAGGGAGTGGCAGACACCCAGCCTCTGCTGTCCACACTCAAGAGGCAGGATGGTAAGAGGAGCTGATGCCTCTGAGTCCTGTGTGCTGGGTTCAAGTTCAGATTTGGCTACACTCAAACTGTGGCCCTAGGCAAGACACTTGCCCTCTCTGAGCTTTGACTCCCTCCCAGTAGAGATTCCAACATGGTAGGACACACGGAAGTCCTTTGTATGCTCTGAAATAGCACACGTGTGCACAAGATTGTCGTGGGAGTTACTTATCTTTGAAGTCCCAAAGAGCTTTCATGTGGCGTGACAGTGAGCATCCCAGATGTCAGCAGTTGCACTGTGTGCCCACAACAGCACGAGGAACGTGAGGCAGGGCCCAGAACACCCTGGCTCACCTGGGGAGCTCTCCACCTGCATGCCCACAGATGGAGGCTCAGAGCCCCTTGCTGCACGGCGGCAGCGTGCTGGAGCTGGCTTGAAATGGCTTGCAAGGACCCAACACCCAACGCTAAACAACCAGGGGCTTTGCATTAAACTTCTGGCAGCTTGATGTCTTGGCAAATGTTATAAATCAGGGATTCCCCCCTCCCCCATATAGCTGGTTTACCAGCACACCACTCTCTCTACTGGTCTACACTGTGTCTGACTGTGAGGGTGACTTGAGAGAGGGGGTAGTAAGTTTGGCTCATTAAACCCCTACACCGCGGCAGACTCCTGGTGAGGCGCTGGATGTTTTGTTTAATCTTTCAATAATCTTATGTAGTAGGATTTTAGGAGTTCCTATTTTGTAAAGGATCAAGGAGGCACTACGTAACTTGCCTGTGGTCACAAAGACAGTAAATGATGAGCTCATATTCAAACCTAGCTGTATTGGGCTCAAACGCCCACGTGCCCCCACGTCACCACACCATCTCCCCGTGGTGGGCAGAGCAGCAGGAGTGTGAGGGCATCCTCGGTCAATGTCAGGAAGACAAGAGGCCAGAGGCCTTCTGGGATCAGAACCTGCAGCTGCTGAGCTGAGCTTTGTGCTTTGCTTCACTTCGAGGGGAGTGGCAGCAGGGAGATGAGGCTATCCCTGGGTTCCAGGGGGTTGGAACACAAAAGTCAAGTTTACTTCTCCAGAGAACCTACTTTTCAGAAGGGCAGAGCACTGCAGTGTTGTAAGGAGTGATGTATGAGATCGTGGAGCCCCAGGGCCCTGGTTTGGATACACGTTAAGGACAGCACGTAACTTCTGTGAGCACCGCCGGTTTGGGACAGAAAGACTGACTCACCTGACAGAATTCTAAGATAAAGGCAAAGGGCCCTGTCCTCTGCCTGAGCCGAGAGAGAAGGTTTGCCTGAGGGTGAGGTCCAGAGATCTGGGAACTCCCGGAAATGGACTCTGAATAAAACCCAGCTTGATTTACCAGGGGTGTGGTGACCATTAGTGGGTAGATTTTCCAGAACTGTCAAGGTTTCAAATTATCTGCCTAGTGAACTCATAAATTATTAAAAGTCCCAGAAATCCCAGCATGTGTTCAAGCCTCCCATCTCAGGCTGCAGGCAGCTCAAAGCTGTTTGTTTTCTGGATCACATGTCTTGAGCTTTGGTCCCAGATGCTGGAACTTAAGAGCTGGTGCTAGTTTTCATTTACAGATGAAGAAATTGGAGGGGGGCACAGAGGGCGGATGGGGTTTACCTGCCGTGCACAGGCGCTCCAGACTCCTAACCCGGTGCTACTTTCACCCTGACACATTTACTGCTCAGTACTCATTATATTATTATTATTATTATTATTATTATTATTATTGTCTTGTTTGCTTGCTTGCTTTCAATTTTATTCTTCAAGGTGGGGGGAGCAGGGAAATGTCTTTTTTTAAAGATTTTATTTACTTTATTTTATTATTATTGTTAAATTATTATATTATATATATATTATTATTGTTATACTGACAGCCACTCAGGCAACCCCTTATTTATTTTAGAGTTAGAGAAAGAGCAGGGGGAGGAGTAGAGGGAGAGAGACAAGTAGACTCCATGCTGAGCATGGAACCCAACGAGGGACTTGATCCCACGACCCCAAGATCATGACCCGGGCTGAAATCAAGAGTCGGACGCTCAAGGGCGCCTCGGTGGTTCAGTTGGTTAAGCGTCTGACTTCGGCTCAGGTCATAATCTCGGGGTCCTGGGATGGAGCCCCGTGTCAGGCTTGGCACCCAGTGGGGAGTCTGCTTCTCCCTCTCCCTCTGCCCCTCCTCCCACTCATGCTCTCTTTCTCTCAAATAAATACAATCTTAAAAAAAAAAGACTCTCAACCAACTGAGCCACCCAGGCGCCCCCCCCCTTTTTTTTTCAATGAAAAAGTTCACTGCTATTTAGAAACCACCACCAATTCTCAAGGCAGAGAGCCAAGAGTCACATCTCTGCAAAGTGTCCCTAGGATTGAAGAGCAAGTTCTGCTCAGCTATCAGAATGGACTTGGCAGGAAGAGAAGCAGAGCCCGGAGGTGCTCTGAATGTAGGGATGGAATTTAATAGCTTATAAGGTATTTTATGGGATCCTGCTTAAGTTAATACAGTTCTCCCAGCAGCCAGCCAAGGAAGCTCCTGTCATCCCTACTTCAGAGGGGAGGCAGTCAGGACTCAGATGGCCTTGGAGTCCCTCCTCAGCCCAGGCTGCACAGTGGGACATGGCTGGACCAGGAGTTGGGCCGACTGGTCACCTGACTCCAGCTCCTTCCAAGATATCAGTGTGTGGTACCTTGTGCCAGAGGCTGATATGGCTGTTGACTGTACTATTTCCTAATTCCTGTTGTGTCTTGACACTCCCCCACCCAGACTGTCACTTTGAAGAAGGATGATGTCCAGCAGATGAACCCACCAAAATTCTATCAAGCCAGTGACATGGCGGACATGACTTTCTTGAATGAGGCCAGCGTCCTGAACAATCTGCGCCAACGCTACACCAACATGAGGATCTATGTGAGTGCCCAGGGCCGGCAGTGGGGATGAGGGATGGCTGCAGATCTTCTGAACCCCTCTCCTGATGGGAAGGGTACAGCTGCTACTCTACCTTCCCAGCAACCATCACATGGTATGGCTCAGGCAAGCACAGAGACCATGTTTCTGACACGTTAGAACTTCCACTCCAGGGGCGCCTGGGTGGCTCAGTCGTTAAGCGTCTGCCTTCGGCTCAGGTCATGATCCCAGGGTCCTGGGATCGAGCCCCGCATCAG